GATTTTAATTAGTACAGACATGTACAGTCTACAATTAAAGAGTGATTTGTATTAATATGATTTTGATTCTAACTTCTCTTTGCTGTCCTTTCAAGACACTTGCTGGAAAAAGCTTTAATGCACTTAGTTTTCCTTTAGGTTTTCTATAACTCAGATGTAAAGGACTTTCTCTGTACAGTATATTATCCAATGCATGTTTGTTCTCTATCCTGATATATTGAACACCACACAGTTGTGAACTCGTGCAGTGGGGATGTCCCACGCCCAGCAGAGGCCTCTGCCCCTTGTGTATAAGGAAAGACATTTTCCTTTGCTGTACTTGCTTGAACAGTTTTATTGTCTGTACATGTGAGCTGTGTGAGATAGATGTGAAAAGTTTAAATGAATGCATTTTCCTGCCCCATGTATACAGATCGTCATCTGTACAATGAACTGTATGTATGAAAGCAAATGTACTTATTTATAAATGGTGACCACTTGGAAACATGCAGCCATTGTGGTTCTTTTCTGCTCAGTAGCACCACCTCTCCAGGAGGCTGGATCCTAGATCACCCTCCAGAGAGGCCTGACATGTTGTGGAAGCCGCCTCCCAGAGAAGTTCAAGTTAAGGCCAGCTTCTAAATATGTCCTACTGGACATCCAGAGCCATCCTCTGATGCATTTATTCACTGAGGACATCATGTAGCCCTCGGAATTAGACACCAAGATAGGCAGGTGGTGTGCTGTGGACAAGATGGTTCAAAGGGCCTATCAGCAAGGCCCAAGGAGCTCGCTGACAAAAGGAGACTTTTTCTTCGGTAGGCCTTTCTTCTCCAGCCGTAAGGAAGCTTTGAGCTCTTCTCGTTTCATCTTAATCACCCCCAATCCGGCTACCTTACCAAAACCCAAGACTGAAGTGAGGAGACAGTCTTAGCTATAGATCCAAAGGCTAACTTGGTCAGAAATGCCCGCTGCTTCCAGTGGCTTTATTTTTTCCTTCAGAATCTGGCAAGGATTTTCATCTTCCCCATAGAGAAGACTACAGGTTTCCTGAGACTGCTGGAGACTCGGTAACTTCCAGTGGCCGGCACTGAGCCCTTCAGCCTTTCCTGCCCACGGCAGCCTTTGTCTACTTCAGGGACAAGCAAGGAAAGAGACCACTTCCTCTAGATATCAGATTGTGCTAAACATTCCTGCTCTGTAATTATAGCCATTTCCCTGAACAACTGGAGCTGGGCACACAGGAAGCCCTCAGGCCATGACCAGTCATCCCAGCCTGGATACCAGGAGTGCTTCAAAGCGAAGTTGGAGGACTCTGGCAGGGACTGCCTGCTCAGCCCCTTCATCAAAACTGAACGAGTAAGAAATTAGCAGAAACCCTGTCGTGTCCTGGAAGGATGCCTGGAATATTCCGAGACAAGAGAAAGGTAACGATTCCAAAAGATAATTCTCAAGGAAATGAACCTGAATAAACCCACTCAGAGTAGACACAAAACAAACTCAGGAGAGGTCTTTCTTTTTTCTTTTTTTTTTTTTAGGAGAGGTCTTTCTTGATTCTCCAAAATACCAACCCATACACTCACTTGGTCTGCATTCCTCCTGGTTTAGATGTGCCACCGCACATGCGTGCCCACAGGGACCGGGGGAGGCAAAAACTGATGAGGTTGGGCAATCTCATCTTCCAGCTTTAAAAACAAGAGACTTGGCCATGCTGTTGTACCATCCCCAGGAATCTGATTGCCAGGGAGTCTCCAGTGGGTTTTCAGAGGCTGTAAATCACACAGGAGCATCTTACTCATCTGTCCCCCTCTGAGCAGTTAGTGAATTTGAACCACCTGCATTTAGATTGGCAGCTCAACTACTCACCCACTAGGCCACCAGAAACCCATTTCCAGGAAGAGGAGAGAGCATTCCTAGGTGTCTGTATGACCCTGTAATGAAGGAAGACCCACCCAGAGCTGTGCTCAGAAGCCCATTTGCCTGAGACACCTGTTGTGTTCCGTTAGCTTTACATAAGGAGAAAGGGGTCACACTCCTAACGGGAGCCTTCAGGGAGGAGCTGAATATTCACAAACAGCTGAAGAAGGTAGCCCAGGAGATTTTCAGGCTATCCTATAAATCCTGAAGTGAGATGACTTTAAGAGTCAAGAGCCTTCTGCCCAGGCTTGACGTTTATCAGGTTATGTACTATGAAGTCCACAGAGCAGCACCGATGTGGGAGACTGCAGGCCTCAAACACAGCAGTCACCAGATTCAACAGAGTTCAGACTAAACAGATGTTGTTGTGTGCTGGGAGTCAGAACTGACTCATAACTGACTGACCCTCCAGCGAGTTTCCAGAGGAGACTGCCTGTCCTCCCTTGGAGCAGTTGGTAGTTTCGGACTTTGTGTCTTTGGGATTACAGTGCAATTTCTTACCACTAGGCCATGAGAACTCCCTAAACAAATGTTAGGAACTAAATATTCATGTTACATGTAACAAAAAGAGTTCTTTACAAGAGGATTTGCTGTAGAACTCAGAGTAAGCTCCCTAGTAAGTTTTTAAGTTGTTTTCAGCAGAGTTTCAAACTGCTATTTCCCAGCTTAGAAATGGCTAATGAGACCAAATTTGTAAAATGTATATGTACCAGAATGATGAACAGGGGAAATACAACTTGACACCAGCTGAAAACTTCATCTCCCTCTTTGTAAAACAAAGGCAGCACACACACTGCATAGCAACCAAATCTCTTGACCAGCAGAGTTAAAAACCACAGTACCAGGATCAAAGATGGCAGCCAGTTATGCCACTTTCAATGTGTATTGCTCACCACAGTCTTGGCAATAATCCCGTCTCCTGAATCAGGAAATCCTGAAAAAGTTCACTACGCCTCTTCTAAGACTCCCATTCCAGTTCACCCACATTTTACAAATTCAAATTTGTTCCAACTACACAGTGCCAGCCATGCCTCAGCCAGCTCCAGCTCATTGAAAGGCCTTGGTCTTTGGTAACAGTGGTCTCAGGAACACAGTACAAAATGTGCACCTAAATTTACTAAAAGCAAAGCTCTCGTCTGAGCTGTAAGACTTGATCTTAAATGCCATCACAGCCTGTTCTAAAAGCTTCGCTCCTCTTACTAAGGAACAAAGACCTATTTTAAAAGGAAAAGCATCAATTGAATATAGAGGGAAATGTATTGCCAGGGACCTTATCAGGCTCTTGCAGCTCCACCCTCCAAGCCATTCTCTGGGCTGAGAAAAGGGTTTCTCTTAACTACATGGAAGAGCTGCCTCCCGGACAGAGACTGAACAAGCAAGGCCATTTCAGCCTCCGCACCATGATAAACATCATTAATCACTTTACCTTCAGTGCCCAGCCCGCAGCTATTTCTTTCCTCACAGCCGTCAAAGTAACTCATCTGACTCTGCTAAGAGCACTGGCTCCTTTTATTGCCACAGTAAATGAAGATAATAGGCAGGAGGTTTGCTGCAGACATTTATTGAATTATCTGTTACACAAAAACACACTGTACTTCACAGAAGATTGGCCACAGGCAACATAAGTCAGGACAGATCTGACTTTGCCGGGGAGCTGGGGGGGGGGGGGCCTTCTTTTGGCTCTGTATTCTCCAGCACGCAATCTAGAAAACCAGACCAGTTCACAACTTTCATTGCAAACCTAAGGCTCCATTTAAGTGGCATTCTGGCAAGGGAAATGCATGATTGTAATAACTTTGGCAGTTTGTCCAAGGTGGGGATTTTCCACATGTAAACATCAAGTGTGCCAGGTGAGTGAAGAACTGATGGAGCCCTTGCTGGGGCGAGGGCCACAATCTATGCCATCACCCAAGGCAGGCCACAGAGGGCAGAGTACACATGGCACCCAGGCAGAGACACTGCCCAAGCAGGACCCGAAGGAAAGGCCGGTGACTGAAAATCCCGCCATCAGCGGACGGAGACTAGCCCACTTGTATAAGGCAGCATTTGGGTTTGAAAAAGGCAACCACTAAAAGAGAACAGTAGTCAAATTCAGGACTTTTATGAATTTCTTCATTTAAGTAAACTGCCTGAGACTCTGTCGTGCTCCTCAAAAACCAATGAGGAAAACAAGGAGAGCCACTGCCAAGTCTGAAGAGCACACTCTCGGCTCTAATCATGCTGTTTCCAGCCCAAAGCCAAACAGTGACTCAGCTAAGTCCATGGGCCAGCGTGTCCAGACACCACCCAGCAACCACCCAATTACCTTCCTCCAAGGACCCACACCAGGAAGAGGAAGAGGCTTCTCTCCCAACAGAAGCAAGAATCTCCCCAACAATGGCAGGTTCGCAGGGGTGTTTCTTTTTTTTTAAAAAAAAAAAACAAAACTGCCTTGTCAAAGCTGAGCCTGCACAAGCAAAAACCTTTAAGTGAAAATCCAGGCCCAGGTTGAGGGGAGCTGTGAGGTCAGCAGGGAGCAGGCCAGCCGTGCAGGGACCATCATAGAAATGGGAAGGATCCAGGCTTGCTGCTGGGCCTTGACTTCGTAGGGGGCAGTCCCTCCCCTCTCCTGAGGAGCCCTACTCTCAACAACATATTTTACACATAGCATCACTCCCTTCTACAGCCAAAGGATAAGCCATACACAGCACGTGCTGTTCAGGTGAGCGGGGCTCCTGTTGTGAATTCAGGCCTGTCCCTGAGGCCCTCAGGTACCCCCACACCCTTCTTCTCTGCTCAGGGAGGCCCACAGCCCCACTGCTTTGAGGTGGAGACTTCAGCTGTCTCCTTATCAGGAACTTCCTACTCAAACCCATCCAACACCTCTCTTGAATGAATGACAAGCGCATAGGCATGGACTACTAGGACTAGTCTAAAGCAAAATGGCAGAGAGAGGACAAGCGCAAAATCCAAGAAATTTGTTTAAAATACAGCTGCACCCCACCCCCCGCAGCCACTGCAGGAGCACCCCACCAAGGAGCCGCGAATCCTGAAGACAGCCTGCATGGGGAGTGGGCATAAAGAAGCATGATAAACCCAGAGAGGCGACGACAGGCCACACACAGTCACTGGGAGCTGGGACTGTCTCCCTCAGTCAGCGTCTTGAAGTCCATTGAGAGAGCTTGTTCTTCAGCCTGGGGTGGCCGCTTCCACTCAGGGCGAGTCAAGATGTAGACCACGACCATGCCAAAGCAGGCCAGCAGCAGGCCCAGCACGTTGGCCAGGACACCTTCCGGCTCGAATGTGCTGTACTTGGTCCTGCAGGGTTGAGATGTAGGAGGAAAGCCACCCAAGTAGAACACAGTTAGGCAAATGCCATTCACGCACCGGGCCAGGAAGATGCCCCGGTGGTCCACCACCAGCTCCCCTCCACCCTCAACCTTGACAGGAAAATGAATGTTGCTTGAACACTACAAAAGGCTGGCTCAGAAAGCAGGGCCCCATCTTCGTGAGGGACTGGGGGACTCACTTTCTTGTGTCATGGGGAACTCACCCAAGTTTAAACAGCAGCGCCTCCTTCAGGCCAAGCAGGGCCGTGCTCACGGAAAAGAGAAAGATAGTGGCACCAAAGAAGATATGCTGTGGGCGGTAGCGGCTTCGCAGAGTAAAGGAAACTCCAGGGAACAGGAAGAAGCTGAAGCCCACGAGCCACTAGGAGAGGAGAGGAGGGGAGGTGCTGGGGGGCCGAGCAAGGCTGGCCACCTACCTGGCTGGCCACCAGCTGGCCAACCAGGAGGCCGTTTGTAAGTGAATACTGCCAGCTCCTCCTCCATCTACTTGATTTCTTCCATCTTCAGAGCATGTGCAGGGGAAGCACTGTGCACTCAGGGAAAGGGTTCTGGCCCCCAGATGCTAGAGGCCTTAGCTTTGCCCATCATATGCACGTGCTCAGTCACATGGACTGAGCCAGCCAGCAGGCCAGCCACCTGGAATCTAAGACATCCTTTGCTAGAAGAGCTGACTTATTTCACAATCTGAAGACAGCATCCTTCTATCCATACTAAAGCCAATGTTGCATCTTCGGGACTCTGGAAAATGGGCTCTAGTATTTTCTCCTTCACACTATCTCTGTCAAGCCCTTTTTGGGGTGCAGGGACCTGAGGGGCTGAAAGGACACACCTGCACAAAGTAAAGGACAAAGACGACGATCCCACACCAGCTGTGCAGGCTGTACAGGTCAGCATAGTCCTTCTTCCGGTGGTAGTCAAACACGGCCACCAAGCCTGGAGCAAAGAGGACAGGTGACGTGAGGACAGGGCTGGACATGGGAAAGGGAGGGGGGAGATGACCCCAGGGAAGCCCGGCTGGTTGGAACTTCTGGGCTTCAGTCCCAATCCTATTGCCACCACCACTGAGTGTCACTGCCTAGGATGGCTAGAAGGGGTGGGGGGGGCCCCAGAACAGCGGAGTCACGTAGCGCATCTACTTGTCGGGCAAGATGAGGGAAGGCCTTGCCGAGAACTCACCCACCAGCGCGATGATAAAGGCCAGGACGTGGAGCAGCCCGTGCAGCACTTTGGTTGTGCGTTTGGCCTCATTCCTGAAGACGCGGTACACTAGCAGGGCTTATGAGAGGACGACGGTGAACACAGCTGTGCTCAGGCCTCTCTGCCACAGCAGCAGGGAGGCCCCCGTGGCCAGGGGTGAGGCCCTAGTGAGGCCTGGCAAGGGATCCCAAGCCCGGGAATCCCAGCCAATCCCCAGTGCCGCTCCCAGCCCCATTCACCCACAGCACTGCGTGGTCCCTCTAAGAACCCACCCAAACTGACCATCTGGCCTGGTCACAGCGAGATGCCCCATTTCTAAGTTCACCTTCCGGCTATGTTGATCCCCACAACAGTCCAGACTGAAGCCTGGTGAGCAGCTGAGGGGCAGGGCCAGCGTGCACAGGGTCCTCTTAGGATTTTGCTTCTAAGGGGTGACTGTGACCAAGGCGACATCCAGGGGAAATGGGCCAACCATATAGAGGTTTTAGTTCAGCAGGCAGGATGGCGGCCTCACACCCTGTCTCAGGGAGGTGCTGCGGCTCAGCCGAGCTCAGTATCCCTCCACACTCAAGCACACCTTTCTCCAAGCACAAACCACCCCCGAGGAAGGCAGCCCGGTGCCCAGCCAGCACAACCCGCCTGCCCTGGGCCACACACAGCCTTTGCACTCCTCGTTAAAGCCAGAATACAAGTGCTGGGACAAATTGGAAAGGACTGCCAGCTGCCAGCCTCAGGGCCAGTCTGGGCTCTCAGTGTCCCCAGGCTCAGCCTAGCTTCCATCTCTGCATTTTCTAGAGTCTTAGGTTTGTCTAAGTAGAGGGGACCACAAGGAGAAGGATCTCTGCAAGCCCCGTTCCCAGGGACACCGGGGCCAGCTCTACTCTCAGGAACACCCCATAGGGGACTTACCATCAGCTTGCAGGAAGACCAGGCCGATGATCATGCAGAGGGGGTGCACATTGAACTGCAAGGTGCTCTCCCAGGCGATGCCCCCTCGGTACAGGCCGAGCCAGGCACCCGTCATGGCCACCAAGGTCAGACCCAGCAGCTGGGAGAAGGCCACGTAGTAAGGCAGTGCCCTGGGGGTGGTGGCTGCGCCGGCTCCACTCTCCATGCTGAAATGCCTGTTGAGGACAAAGCAGAGTTCAGGGGGAGCCCACAGCCTCCTAATGCCGCCACTCCCACTGCACCCGTCAACTCCCGGACAGGGATCCCGTATCCCAGTCCACGGAGCAGAATGGCCCAGTGCCCGGAGACAGACCCTGTCCCCGACTGGAGTGCGAGGGGCTTCCCATACACTCTCAGCTCCAACAGCTGGCACCATCCTCTACCCCACCCACGAGACTCTGGCTTTTCTCAGGCAAGACGTACAGGAGAACAAATTCCTTGTAGGTGCAGGATGGGTGAGAGTAGAGCTCCCACTTCCCCCAGAGCCCTTCTGACTACCTATTGCCCTAACAGAGGCAAGGTGTCAGCCTTGCCGTCTGGTCCTGGCTTCAGTTGTCATCACCCCAGCCCGCACACACTGGCAGACGCCACCCAGCTTACCCATGAGCATGCCGGCAGGGGCAGCGTCCGGAGCCCTAGTCCCTTCTGAACCCCTCTGCCAGTTCAGGTTAAAAGTGCACACCTCTAAGGCAAGGTTTCCAAACTGAAGGCATGAAAAATGCAGCCCTGAGGACACTCCCAGACTGAGTTCACAGCGTTTCCATTCACTCTACAGTCCTGTCATGAAAGCCAGGCTGTCTGTCCATTGTACAGATGAGCAAATGGAAGCTTGAGGCCTGAGAAAGCCTTGTCCAAGTGGCCACACAGTGAGCCCATGAGACACTGATGTCAGCTCCTCACCCTGAACTGCCTGGTCCTCTGAGTTCTGGCCAGCCCTCCCCCATGACACCTTCGGGTGTCCCCAGTCCAGATCCATCTTCACAGCCCTTACAATCCCACCCGACAGTAACAGGACAGTCATCAGGCAGTGGGAGGATGAAGGGGAAAGGAGGAAGGGACAATACAAACAGGCCTGGCCTCCTCTAGCTTTGCCCACCCGGAGGACCCCAAGCCCACCTCCCTGTGCCTACTGCTCCCCCCTCCCAGCCACTCTGCCACATTAACTCGGGCAGCCATCTCCCATCTCAGCCTTGCTGGCTGTTGCTAAGGAAACACTGGAGCTTGTCCCTTGTCAGCAGAAAGCGAGCAGGGCCGGAGCTGAGACACTGGCCTCAGAGAGTCAGCCTTGCCCCCACCATTTCCTTTGTTGTTAAGGGAATCTTTTTTTCCCCTCCCTTTTCTTTTTGTTCTAATTTCAGTGACAGTTTACAAAGCAAACTGGTTTTCCATGTAACCCTTCACACCCTGTTGTCACTGTGACTTTAATTCAAATGCCTATAGTAATCATGGCTGTCTTTAATCTCTGTCTCTTCACAGCTGGAACTCCCACCACTGGAAAAAAAAAGGGTTTTAACACATGCCCCCTGTGGTAAAATGCAGATCAGCAAAAAAGAAAGGAAGATTACAAGTGGTAATGTTTAGATTTATATCCTTGCTTTATTTTTTTTCTTGGAAACATATATCCTTTTAGAGATACAGGATCAAGTTTCTAACCTGCTTTGCTTGGGTTTGTTTTGGTTTACATTTAATGGTATACTCTCCAGAGCTTGTTCATCAATGAATGTATATCCACCTCATCATTCTAATAACTAAATGGCTCTGCAGTGCATGGCTGTTCTCTATTTTAACCAGTCCCCTAATCCCCTACGAGCCATCCATTTAGCCTCCCACTATACACACACACACACACACACCCACGTGCTGTCTTTGCACACTTGTCTAATTAAAGCCTCACTGAAGAAATAGGCCCCTGGGGCAGGGCACGTTCTTTTTTCAGGACTTTGACACATCTGCTAAGTCAGTCATGTACCAAATACCCGATCACACCCCTAGGGCAGGCTGGTCCACGCCAGAGCCTTCCTTTCTGAAACTAAGCCTGTGCTTATCTGTCACCTCCACAAACCCACACCCAAAATACACTGCTGGCGAGTGGATGTCCACCCTTGGATACCCTCCATCCACTCTCTGCAGGAGCACTGTGTCTCATCTTTCTCCTGCAGAATGGCCAGATTTGAACCACTGACCATTTGGCTAGCAGCCTGACATGATGCATGACCAAGCCAAGTGATGGTTAAATTTAGTGCCACATCTGTCCACTCCCTCAAATGCAAACCCCATTCAGTCTTCACTATACACTACACATTTCTACCTGGACAGCCCACAAGCACTTGAAATTCACATATTCAAGGTCAAGCTCACCTGCTTGCAGGCAACCAGCAGGCTGCCCTCCCTCCACCCTGGCACTGCCTCATTCAGGACACAGTCGCAGCTGGGTGACCCCACCCTGGGTCTCTTGCCATCATTCTCTTCTCCCCATCCTCACCGATGGATGGATCCTATGGAGGGACACAGAGCTTCCCTCCATCACAGGATGTCACAGACACATCCTAATGGGTCCTTCTACCCCCATCTACCCAACACCTACCATACCAGGAACATTCCCCGTTCCCAAAGGCTTGACCCACTGCAATGGAAATGACATCTCCTTCCTGGGACCCTCATCAACTTTCCACTGCAGTCTCACCACTCAGAGGACTCTCCACTCCCTGAAGACCAGCTTTGTTATTCCCTCCACTCATCCTCCCCCATAACCAGGACTGAAGTGGGGGCACTCACCTCCTCACCATGTCCCCAGTGCACAGCCACTTCCTCTGGTCCCCTGGCTCTCCTGGTGGTGACTTACCTTCCAGCTGTTAATTTCTGGGGTGTCTCCACAGCAGCTTACCGGGCTTGCCCTCCCTGGCTGTCCCTAAGCCGCTAACACCTGGTCCAACACTAGCCTATAGCCTAGCGGGGGGCGGAGGGGAGGGAGTAGACTGGGTAGGGAAGTGCTGTCTTCCCAGGTCATCGCCCTCCTTTATTAGATTCGCCCCTGAGAAGCCAGAGCGCAAAGTGAATCTGATTAGCCTGAGTTAGGGCCCAAGGCTGGAACATCACTGCCACTGCCACCACCATCACCACCGCTGCTGCTGTGAGGCTTTTTTAACTGAGGTGAAAATACACACACGACATTTACCATGCCAACAACTTGCACGGTGGCAACATCGCTCATGTAAATGTAATGGCCCCTTCCCTCCACTCACCCCAGCACCAATAAGCAGCTGTTGTCGGGTGCCATAGTCAGCTAGAGCTCACAGTGACCCTGCGAACAATGGATCTGAATTCTGCCTATTCTGTGCCATCCTCAGCATCTCTGAAACATCTGAACCCATTGATACAATCACTGGGCTGTCAATCCATCCCACTGAGGGTCTTCCCTTCCTTCGCTGACCCTCTACCTTCCATGCATGATGCCTTTGAAGACTGGCCCCTCCAAACTACATAAGCAGCCTTTGGTTTCTATATATTCTTTTATTTCATATAAATGAGATCATAGACCACTGGTCCTTTGGTGACTGGCTTATTTAGCACAGTGCAATGATTTTAAGGTTCATACATCAGAACCTCACGTCCCTCTCCATCTATACAACACTGGATGGAGTGTGTGTATCGTCTATCCATTTGTCTGTGAATGGATGATGCTATTTTGGTTGCTGTGACAAGTGCTGCCCTTGTCACAGGGAAGGTTTCTGTGTCCTTCTGGTCAGCTGGTCCTTTTCTGCATACCTCTTCAGTTACCTAGGATGGGCAATGCTGAGTCATGCTCATCTCTCTTCTACCCTTTCACTCAGGATCTTTCATTATCATTATTATTTTAATATTGTGTTGTAGGTGGCAGGGTGTATAGGGTGTGGAGCTGCTAACTCAGAGGGCACACCTCTCTGGCAGTCTGAATCTGCCATTGGCTTCATAGGAGAAAGATGATTTACAGCCTCGGAAACCCAGCAGTGAGTCAGTTCCATGGCAATGAAATGATGATGATGATGATGATGATGGTGGCGGTGGTGATGCTGGTGATGGTGGTGATGGGATGATGGTGGTGGTGATAGTGGTGGTGGTGATGGTGGTGGTGGTGATGGTGGTGGTTATGGTGGTGATGGTGGTGGTGATGGTGATGATGGTGACGATGGTGGTTGTGATGAAGGTGGTAGTGATGGTGATTATGATGGTGATGACAGTGGTGGTGATGGTGGTGGTGATTATGATGGTGATGACAGTGGTGATGGTGATGATGATGGTGGTGACGGTGGTGGTGATGATGATGGTGATGACAGTGGTGGTGACAATGGTGATGATGGTGGTAGTTATGAAGATGGTGGTGATAGTGATGACAATGGTGATGCTGGTAGTGATGGTAATGGTGAAAGTGGTGGTGATAGTGATGGTAATGATGATGGTGGTGATGGTGATAATGGTGGTGATGGTGACAATGGTGGTAGTGATGAAGGTGGTGGTGACGGTGATGATGTTGGTGGTGATGGTGACAATGGTGGTGACGATGATGTTGACAATGGTGGTGGTGATGATGACTACTTTAGGTGAAAGCTTAAATAGCACATTCACTTTCCAGTCAATAATTCATGTCTCTATAATGTGTTGGAACACTAGAGGCCTAGTGGCAAGAAGCTGCACTGCAATCCCAAAGGCATGCAGTTCAAATCCACCAGCTACTCTACAGGAGAAGGATGGGCAATATCCTCTCATGCAATTAACTGCCTCTGAAAACCCACTAGCGAGTCAGATGGTACACAACCACCACCACCATTTCATGTGTCAGTGCTCTCTCCATTTCCACCTGGGTTCCCCTTGCCTATTTCCCTGCCTCCTGGCTTCTCATCTGTGCTTCTGGGCAGATGTTGTCCTGGTTTCTATGGGTGTGTGCTAAGGAGCACTGTCCCCCGGGTGGCCGTGTTTGTTTATAGGCCTGTCTATCACTTGGCTGAAGTGGACTTCTGGGAGTGGCTTCAGTGGTCTTGGGCCATAGTCTTGGTGGTTCCTCCAGTCTCATTAGACCAGTAAGCCTAGGTTTTTATTATGGATTTGAGTATTGTCCTACATTTTTCAAGGACCTTCTACGGCCCCAGTCAAAGAGGTCTTGTGCTGCCACAGTTGCTCTGCCGAGTGGAA